GCCATAGGGTGTGCGCCCTTTCATGGGTCCGCCGCCTCCACCCCCGCGACGGTTGTTATTCTGGTAATTATTATTTCGCTGTTTCCCTACAATCAACACAAAAAGTACATTATAGACACCGTATGTCTTATCAGATGACATGTCTGTCCATACCTGTGTTACTCAGTTTACTCGTCGATATCTATGGCCACAAAATGGATGAACAAAAACACAATTCAATTAATACAATGAGATAACAAAACAATTGCTAACTATTGGTTTTACAAAGAGTACACAACTCGATACTAGACTAGAATATTAACCATAATGTTGTACACTATCTCATAATGATTTGTGAAAATCTGTTATAAAACTAGTGGACATAGAATTTGATAATCATGATATACTGGTACCACGAGTGGACTATTCACTATATTAACTATTTTTACTTATCGTTAGTCAATCACTGGACACAACGATAGATAAATCAAACATAATTTAGATTCATAATCAAAAACTAAAACTAATTCAACGCTTTCCATGTGTCCATAGATGAGAGGGTCGGGGAAAGGGATGCCTACGATGTCTATCTGGCAGTGCATACCTGAACGGTGAGCTGAGATCCCATGAAATTATAATTATTCAACTTTTTAATCGCTTCGTCCGCTTCTTCGCGTTTAGTCATATGCTGTCAAAAGATAATCAATAGATTAGACACACAGACATCAGTACACTATACATATACCACACCATTCATTATCACCAATACTATCAATAGGCTTCACAAATACGGACCGGTATCTCACAACTTATTATTAATTCACATAACAGTGGTGTATATATCTAATCATAATCTATTGGCTGAATTAGGGGACAGGGGGTGAGTGGTTGTTCATTATATGGGAGCAATGAGGGTATACCTAAAACTTATAAACTGCACAATACCCTTACAATAGGGGATAAACTAACTATAAATCATAGGACTAGCCATACAAATGGGGGTAAAGGGTGTAAGCGAGTGCCTGATAATAGATAATTGGTGGTGATGTATGTGCGGGTGTGGTGGAGGTGTGGTGATGGCTATACTGACCACAAACCCATATTTGCCGACCAGGTCCACTTGAGTGACCTGACCATACGTGCGGAACAGGTCCTCCAAGTCCTTGTCGGTGCAGCCATCGGGCAGTCGTCCCACAAAGACCTTAGCGTTACTCAAGTCATCACTCATTGTGTGTTAGGATTGTTGTA